GACGCTCAAGATTAGCATGTAATCTCTAATATAGCTGCTCAAGAGGAATATTGGAGTTGACATGCATTTCTTTAAACAAGATAGACATGCAAGTTTGATTTGCAGTGAGTACGAATAAACCCTGACTCATCGATTAAAATTAATAATGGCTTAAATCCAGACAAACATACAGAGGGAAGTTGGTAAAAGGTCCATCTGGCATGTGGCTGGCTTCAGGTTAGCTGCTAAAGGTTAGCATTGAGCTAATCCTGAGGTAGACAAAACCTGGACCTCCTGAAAATATATGAACCCGACATTTGGAGTTAAAACACAGATTTACCATCTGAACTGGCTTTGCAGTAAGCTTACTAAATGAACCCAGAGCATGTGTTTTTTGTTGGAAATGGACATGTTTCCTACCTCCTCAGTTGTAAATAACACAGTGTTCCAAGGCCATAAATAATAATGTCACTCAACCATGCCCCATTCTCATGTCCTCTGCTTGCTCTCACCACAGGCCTCTAGTACCGCTTAGCCAGGGGCCCTCAGCCTTGTGCTGCACCTTCACACACTCACAATCAAGGAATAGCCATAAAAGCAAGTGCAATGTTTCTGCAGAGTCAGACAGTTGAGTGGTGCAAGGGCATGATCACAAACTAGAAGATTCATAATGGATGTTCTGGGAACACACATTAGTGGGCTCCCCATGTTCTTGCTAACAAAATACATCACACATGCACATGAGGAAATGTAAGTACAAATGTGTGCAGGCAAATGCATGCACACATGAACACACTGCACTTAGGGGCAGACAGTATTGATGGTTCCCTCGGGCATCACACGGACGCATCTGTTTCTGTCCCTCTGACTCTCCACACTCATAATTTCAAGTAAGTCATAACACAAATTATAAACACATATCCTTCAACCGTGACGCCTAGGAATAACAACATGGAGTGCGCTGAGCTGATTTAGTGTAGGCAAGGGCTCTTAAATCTTTACCTTTGCTCTTTTCTTCCCTTCCTTCTCTCATTTTCTTCCCTCTTTCCTCCCGCGTGCAGCACAGGTGGTAGTCACGCTTGTCAAACACATACTTTTCTTTCTTATCTATTGCCTTCATCTCTTGCCATCTCTTTTTTATATATATGTTCTTGAGCAATGGGTTCTTCCTAACGTCCGCTTTCTTTGAAAATGGTTTGTGCAAATGTATGCGTTTGTGTGTTTATGCTTACTCTTGACCCCATCTTAACCCTTTGTCACCCAGAAATCTGTCTGACCTGCCAGTGTCCTGTCTGCCCTGTGACATCACAGTCCGTAGACAGCAGCCCCGCCTCCAATAGGTCTTCATCAAAGTCTTCTCTTCTCATTTTTCATCCCTTTGTTCATAATTATCTCGTCCCGCCTGACGTTTCCTTACCCTTCTCTTATTCCAACTTTTTCATTTCAGTTTTTCTTTCCATATCGTCTCTGCTGACCCCTCTCCCCCTCCCTCCTTTCCATCTCTCCTCTCATCGCATGGTCATGTACTTTAGCCATCCATCTCCCACCTCTGCAGATCCAAATGTCTCAATATGTCCCAGGGACCATGAAGGTTCAATAGGAATCACATGTTATAGTCGAGCTGAGAATTTCACCCCTTATAAATAAGATGTCAGTCCTGCCTATGCTTTTTCCACAGAGGCTTGCATACCCTCTCTATAATACTACTCTATATCACTAAGTAAATACTATGATATTTACATACATGAATGCACAACTGTTTATGTAAACATTGTGTTTAACTTGTCAGCTAAAATACCGTTATCTCATAGAAAGACTAAAGTAAGAACAAGTTTTTAGACCAGATATCCAGCAGTGATTATGGGATTTATTTGTCTTTTTATTGGAGAACCTTATGACTTCTCAGTGCACGGGGTCTGACTTTTATGAAGACTAATTACAAGTTTGTCATGAAAAACCATTTCATATCTGCCCTTTCAATTCCGAAAGGAAATGTAGATAATCCTCTGTTTGTCCACGACAAGCCAAGGCTAAGTTAAGCAGGGAGTGAGACAAGAGGGAGAGAAGGGAGAGGGTTCACCCACTCAAGCTCAAGATCAGCCAGTAGATACAGGGCAAGCATTTGTCTTAGTTTGTGCGTGTGTGTGTTTGTTTGTGTTTGTCTAAAAGATGAACCCTGTCTGCTAGATTCATGTACATTGCAGTGTGGACTAAAACTAAGGCCAAATGGCCACTCAAATGAGATGTGATTAAATACTCCAGTGTGATTCAGGCTCAAAGACTGTAAGTAATACTAATCAGCACACACACATACACACTCAACCACTGATTGAGGATGTGGAAGACAACATTTACAGGCTTGCTTATCATAATAATGCCCCGCTTTTATTGTTTTAGGAAGACATCACTCAGCAGAATCCTGCAGTACCACTAGGAGAGCACCCACAGAGAGACAGCTCTGTAATCGACTGTGTTAATTTAGAGCCTGGAAGTGATTTAGCCTGCACTGATGCATGGCAACCACTTTGGTTTGGGGGTTTAATTTAGTCGGGTTCACAACTGTCTCAGGGTCTATCAATCATTTTCAGTTGGAAAGTCTGTACCTGTGCTAGGGAATGCAGCGGTGATGCAGAACACCTCTCCGTCATAAAAACACAACATACAGTAATTATTGTAGCTTCCTTGTAGAGGTCTGCAATTGCTACAATGCTAAAGACAATGATTACATTGTCAGAATGTACAGAGGAGACTTGGCTTTCATGTTAGTTTTTTTTTAGCTGTGGTTTGTTACACACTTCATTATTATCTTTCTTTAGTAAGTAATCAAACAGCCACATTGTGTCCGTCCTCAATTCAGCATTTGATGAATGGGAGTGCAACAATCCCTCATGAAGTGACTAAGTGGTGGTCAGAAAAAGATAGATCTTTGTTTGGCTCTTTCAGAGGAGTTCACAGATTAGATAAACCTCCTCTCTAAAACCGGGGTGGGGGTTAGAGCCCCTAACCTTTCACCGCACTCTTTCATCAACCTATTTGACCCTGCACTTAATATCCCCTCCTTACATTGTTGAAGTGTTCTAAAATAGTTTTCCAGTTAAGTCTGCGGTTATTTGTTCTGCACTAAGAGTCACATCCTGACTTAGAAGCTTTCCGGTTATGTTCAAAGAAATAGATTAGGGAAACATTTGAGACAATATATCCAAAGTTGGAGTTTCCATGTCTAGCAGTGTGTACTAAAGATGGCCCACTGGCGAACAAGTTAAGGCTGTTAATCTGACACCTTGTTTATGAACAGTGACACAGTGTGCCACATTCCTTGTCCATATATGTCTCTGTGCATCACCTCTTTAATTTATTTGACACAGCCAAAGATAAAAGAATGTAACATGGATTGCCACTGTGCCATGCTCTTAAATGCAGAAATAATGATTTGGGTATATTAGTTAGGGAAAGTAAGAATGGACTGTTGTTTCATTTGTTGATATATCAGTGGATTTCTTTAACAATAATTGGATGCATTTTACATTATGAATGGCCAGCTCAAAGAGAATAGTCCTGTAGTCAAAAGCACTTGCTCTGGTTGAATGTAGGTCTGTGTGTAGGGTGTTGTGCATGTACGTGTATTCCCATTACACTGAGCATTAAAAGGAATAACAGTGGAGGTGTAGAGGGATGAAAAGTGTCACTTGCTCTGTGATTAATGGTGTGATTAGCTGCTCCGATCCATGTCATAACCCACATGCATGCACGTGCAAATGCATGCACAACATACAAGCACACACAAACACAGAGGCCTTTTAATGGCCCTGAATGGGAGAATCCAGATGCGACATGCAGATAATTGTACTAAAAACACCAAATGTGGAGTCCCAGGCCGGCAGGACTTTATTTTGAGTTCAGCATGTTTATTTTTTCAATTCAGTTATTTCTGCAGGGACTTAAATCATGGAATAAAAACACTCCGATCCAGGTCAATTTTTAATTGAGTTCAAAGTGTATTTTGACTCCCTCCCTCCTCCTCTTACTTTACCCATCACCTCACACAAATCCAAACATTACCTTACCGTGTTGGTTTAATGCCTGCCTCATTTTAAATGTGGTTTCAGAGTCTGGAGTTCAGTCACGTCATTTTATCAAACTTAAAATAGCTTCAGTGCCTACAAACTAGTAAGACAGCTTGAGACTTCTTAGATGGTCATTCAGATAAACTTAGGCTGAAATCTTTTTAGCAGGTCATTTTGTTTTTTTCAATCAATCAGTCAATAGCCATAGTACAGCAGTTGTGTGCATCTGGCTTTTTTTGCGAACGTGTTTGTGCTTGTGTGTTTACCAGAGAAGCCGTGTAAAATGTTTGTCACAACACAGGATTTAAAACATCCTGCTTGATGACGAGGATAGTCATCACCAACTACTCCAAAGGCTTTTACGTCTGTCGTAGGGTTGTGCAAGACATCTCTTGAGTAATGGTCTACATTTGTACGTCTGGTTGTGTGTGTATGATGAAGCCTTGTGGTATGTTTTCTCCCCACCTGTAGACAGTCATTTGTTGCCAACCCCCTTGCCAACACACACACACACACACACACACACACACACACACACACACACACACACACACACACACACACACACACATTGTGGTAACCAGCAGGGACAGAGGAAAGATGTCATATCCTCCTCAGCCTACTCTTTTATACTCCATTACACTATTACATGTCCATGAGTCACTCTGAGGGAACACTAATACAGCACTTAGCAAACCACTTCAAAGATGTCTGCTCATTTTCTGTGGAAGCTCCGTCTGAGTTTAAGAATCTCTGGATTGAGTGGGTTTGCTGTGACATCTGCCTACGGACAAAGGCCCATAGCTGCAGATTAAGGTGTATATTTTCTGACCATTAAACACCATTCTAAAGTCCTTTCTTGGGGTAAAATACATGTTAACTGTTTTGTTTATCATCAATAACCATACTTTGTTCCTCTTCACTCTATTTCCCCATGTCCCGCTCTCATCGTCTCAGGCAGCAGGCTTTGCTGGCAGCCATCAGTGAGAAGGATGCAAACATCGCCCTGCTGGAGTTATCCTCTTCCAAACGGAAAAAATCTCAGGAGGAAGTGATGGCTCTGAAGAGGGAGAAAGACAGGCTCATGCACCAGCTCAAACAGCAGGTAAATCCACCGCTCGAGACCACCAATATATGTATATATGCATATAAACATTGAATTAAATGTACAGCTCCCCTTGTCTAAGAGCTTGATTGGTCTGCACATAAATCAAATGGAGCCTGGCCCTGCGGTCACTGTTTAGGACATGTGAATCAAAGCAGGACTACAAATTCAAACCTGCTGCAGCCTTACCTGCACTTAAACACTTAAACAGCCTCATGGGCAGACTTTTGAACTGTGAAACCAGGAACAGATAGAGGTACATTAATTCCTGGTAGTTAACAGAGTGGACTTCCCAGCCTCCAACCACACTTACTGGTGTTCAGTCATCGTAAGCCAAACCAGTGAAGCAGGAGCTGTGACTCTCCTAACAATCATGTTGCAATCAGAGTGATTAGATGTACTCAAGATGCAGGCGTAGGTTGGTATCATTGATGATTCAACAGCGGACTTTTCTGTCTTACATCTTCTGGTCAAACATTGACATTATTCCCAGCACACACTCACACACATACTATGCACCTATTTCCCATGTTGCCCTGGCTCTCAATATGATGAAGGTATGTGTGTCATTAAGGTCTGGTCAGACCACATCAGTGACTGAGTTAATGCTAATTATAATGAGCCAACAGCAGGGAGTCTGCATATACGGTCTACTGAGTCACGGGGGGCTTCTGGGAAACATGGTGCATTTAAAAGTCAACAGATGCAGTGGCTGTGTGTATTTGTATGCGGATCTTTGTTCGTGTCTCGTAAACAGTAAATAGTTCCTAGGGGGTGCAATTCCATTCGTGGAATTTCAAGGAAAGCCTATTATCTGTTGATCGCCATTGTATGCGTCATGTTTTCCCGTTGCAACCAGCAGTTACAGTCCACCTGTTGATGTGATGGGCTCTAATTGCAATGATGAAGCCTCCAGGCCTGGGGCAGAAAAGGGGAGAAGAGAAGAAGAAAAGAAAGGGATGTGAGACGAGAGGGATGGGCAGCATAAAGCTGCTTTCTCTCCTCTTTCCCATACATGCTAACCTGGTTTCTTGGAAGGTTTTCTGGCACACATGCATGAATCCATGTCATTGTTATTGCTTAGAATGGTTGCACCAATATATTTGTATCTATGAATATATTTGTTACATTTTTGTTTAGAATGTTAGGAGTGGCTTGAGTCAAGCCTTTTGTTGCAGTTAATGTATTAAATATTACTTTCAGATTGGTCCTTGGTAATGGCCGATACCCGAAATCCAGGTATCATATCAGGAAGTAAACAGTCGGATCAGTGCATCCCCATCTCTTAGTGGAACGGTGTGCCAGGGATTCATTGTTTTGGCCACCTAGTACCTGGGTCGAAATATTCAGAGACTTCATCATAAATGATTGTCGAAGAGGTTGTAAGGTAAGAAGCTCCTATAAGAAATGTCGACTTGGTTTCTTTCCATTTTGACAGAGTGAGCTCCCTGGAGGTTTTGTTGTTCAACATGACATACACCGTCTCTGTCTGCTGACCCATTGACACACATATCAGGATAGGTTGCCTTCCTAAGGTCCACAACAGCCAATGGCGGAAGGAAACTGATCAGGAAATGCCAAAGAATTATGGGACTCGGAGTCTCGTAGGAGAAAGCTGATCCGTAGACAGCAGATAGATTTTCAGATAGCAGTGCCCTGTCTGCCCTCCCCACATCCCTCCTTTGGAAGATCTTGTGTGTGTGTGTGTGTGTGTGTGTGTGTGTGTGTGTGTGTGTGTGTGTGTGTGTGTGTGTGTGTGTGTGTGTGTGTGTGTGTGTGTGTGTGTGTGTGTGTGAGTGTGTGTGTGTGTGTGTGTGTGTGTGTGTGTTTCTCAGTGTGTTTGCAAAAAGCTGGCGGTCTAAGACAAACGTTTCTTTCTCGGACAGTTTGCTTCCCTCTGAGGCATAGGCCTTCTTCAGCACAGTATACAAATACACAGACACACACATGAAGAGTGTAGTGTTTAGACTTCCTGAGGAGAGAGTCAGAGCTAATCTGTCCCCATGCGGGAATTCTCTGAGTGTTCCCATCATAGTGATGGAGGGCTAAACGTGCTTTGAAGCTGAAAGATGGATTTGGCATCCTCAGAGGTGTGCCATTTTCTGGGACTTTTTCTCAATTTTTTCTCTCGTTCTCCCTTTTTCTCTGTCTTTTTAGTTACTTGGGCATTTATCCTCTCTCTCTGCTGAAAAGATGGATTTTTTTGTTTCAGAGGTGTGCCATTTTGCACAGCTAATGTAAAACGACCTGCCTGCTTTGTCTGTGTTACTCTGTTTTACTGGGATAGCATGGCAACGCAGAAACACACACACAGATTTGATTAAAGGAGTAGGTATACGTGTTGTGAATTGTGTGCAGCCTTTCCCCAGCCGCCTGTGTGTTTAAGGCCTTTTTTGTCAGCCTCATGCCTCCATATGTGTTAATGCAGCTCTGCTCTAATCAGGACAGGCTTTTGATTTACTGACGGCTTGGATTGAGGTTTGGGATGCAGCTGTGAGCACAGCAGCGGGATCATCACTGCCATGTTTACACCAGCACTTTGATACACATGCAGAGGAACCTCACGCACACACATAGTACAGTTCAAATCTGTTATGGTTGGGGATGTCAATGAAAAACTCTCCTCTCCCAGCAGTGCCACCTGTGACTATTCCAGGATCTACAGTACAAGCAGGCCTGGAGGTCATTACTGAGCTGTTTACTCTGCAAAGGCCATAATTAACACTAATTAAAACACACACATTCCACCACACAGTCATTTTATATGTGCACACCTCCGCACATGCACAACGGAACAAAAAAGTATGAGATGTGTGTGTGTGTGTGTGTGAGTGTGAGAGAGAGTGTGTGTGTGTAAGTATGTGTGTCTGTTTGAATAAACTAGATGGCCACATGTGGGCTATCGTGACCACACAGTCAGTTTCTTCCAGAAGCAATTCATTACTTCATTCATTAATGTTTTTGTCTCAGGTCATTAAATGTACATGCGCACGCACGCACGCACACACGCACGCACACACACACACACACACACACACACACACACACACACACACACACACACACACACACACACACACACACACACACACACACACACACAGACATTTGGCTTCCCTTCCTACACATTTTTTTTGTAATTAGATGGCCGGAACAAGTTGTAGTTTTTTTTTATTAGATTAGCATTGAGGACTAAGCACACATTTGCCCTTCTTACCATTGACTACATATAGCAACGTTTTGAACATAATTATCGATTAAAATTCAACATAATTGTAAACATTGGGAGCCCCTAGAGCATGTACTGTAGTAGTAGTTACATCAGCTGCATGGTATATGATAGTAATTGTCCTAGCTGTAATGACAGTTCTCAGCCCTGTAACTGTTGCATTGAGTCAAGCCCCACCCAGTCACACCTGCTAGTGTCAACACCTGAGGTCACAGAGGGCCGTACACCTCAACCCAGCCTTTAACTGCTCTAACCACTGGTCTGGTGTTTGTCTGGGCCCTCCTCCATCCCTCACTCTTCATCTTTATGTCTGTCTCTCTCTTTCCCTCTCACCACTGTGTCACTGTTCTCGCCTTATCTGAGCAGCTCTTCTCCAAGTTAAGCTAATTGCTAACCTCTTTAATGCCAGCCACATCCTCTCCTGTGATCCTGACTGGCTCGTTTCCTCAATCATTTAGGCCTCAGCTCCTTATCTCAGCAGTGATGTCCCCAGGCCGCTGACTGCTATAATACCATCTCCCTCCTATCCTTCAGCTGACTCAGACTTTTTTTCTCTTCCTGCCATGGCTGCCCCTCTTTTGAAAAAAGGAAAGCAGCAACATTTTGGATTTCGACATGTGTGCATGTCTTTCCTTGGAATCATCTTCATTCCATACACAATCCAACCTCCCGCTCTGCAGTCGTGTACGCCCTCAGGGGAAGTATCTGGGAATAAAGCTGAGCCTGTCAATGTATCTGCACCCACTCAGTCACGGTCTATCTTTTAGACAGCTGGCCTCAATGGACTTAGGCTGATTGTTAACGTTAGTCAGCCTCGGCTGTTATCTCCTTCCAAAGCAGTGATGTTGGCAGTATGACGGCTTCTTCCACAAACGCTCACACAAATACACACAGTTGCACAATACAAAACAAAGGACACATAGTCTTGCTTACCCATTTACAGGCGTTCCTTAAAATATACATATTTGTGTGTAATTTTAATCAATGACATCTAAAAGGAGATTGCTTCACCCAAGCCAGAAAGCCTGTGGGCTACATGAAACACTCAGTAACTGTTCTTACTAGGATTTGTCTAATCCAATTAAACTATAATCTGCAATATGGATGACATTTGACAGACTTCATCAGGCACTCCGACTCACTCAATTTACGACCTGTCAAGTGTTGTTAGCGGCACTGTTTTTATCATCTTTGATGGCTTTCAACATGCTTTGCCGCCATCCAAGAATCCCTCAGCCTAATCATTCTAAGACCCAAAGAACATTTTTACGAAACAAATAAGCAGTGTTGGAGAAATGAATGTTTTATAATTGTGGGTTATACATTTTCTTTTCTATCTCCTTTTTTTTGGCAGACTCAGAGCAGAATGAAGATGATAGCGGATAACTATGAGGAAGATCACATCCACCCCCAGCATCATCCTCACCATTCTCACCATATGCATCCAGCCAACGTGCATCACCGAAGCCTGCCAAGAGGGCCCCCCCATGCCAATCACCGACCCCCTATGGACCAGGTCAATATGAATGTGCACAAACTCACCACACACCAGACAGTTTGGACCTGTTTACACAAGCTTACATGTGGTAGGCTTTCATCTTCATGCTTTTAAAGTTGGAGCAATTTTATTTGTCATCTCCATCACGAGTCAGTTGTGGTTGGACTGAGCAGTCTAAAATGTCCCCTCTCACTTCTCCTGTGTCTCTTCTCCTTCAACCCCAATACTTCCTGCCAAGTTAGAGTTATTCATATCATTAAGATAAGGAGCCTGAAGGGAAAATCTGCCAAATGAATGTTTTTGATCGATGGGATTTGTGTGTGAGATTAGTTTATGTATCATTCATCTCTTATATGAGCTGCCTCTCTCTGTGTATCATATCCAGACTACCCTGAGGACAAACTTAATGTGTCAATTTGAGGAGCGCTAAGGAAGAAGCACAAACTGCTGTTGTTATTAGCATAGTGTTGGTGTGAGTGTGCGTACATCCAAGTGTGCATACTGTAGACGTGTGCATGCCTGTGTGTGTTTGTGTAAATGCACATGGCGGTGCACACCTGATTCTTTGTTGATACTATGTACTCAGATGAAATCCCTACCGGGGGAAAGTACTCTTCAAATAAAGACAGATATGATTTAACTCCATTAGCTGATTACATCTTCTAGTTATTTGAATGGAAAATAAACTCATCACAGCTCTATTGTTGTCATGACGTTGTGATTGGGGATTTTCCGAAATTACCAAAACGAAGTGTGTTTGTGTATGTATGTTTGGGGATTGAAGATGAATACCTGGGGATTTCCACCTGAGTATAAATGTGAACATCTGTTCCATCTAATATGCACCATAACACGTTTCTAGACGTTATGTTGCTGACACTGCTGCTCAATGAAAGTCAAACATGGACTGGGGATCCCCTGTCCTAAATACATCCTTAACGTTACTGCCTTTTTGGCCTGGTCAGCATTGTAAATGAGATTTTATCTCAATGCTTTTTATCTGGTTAAATAAAGATTAAATTAAAAAAAATACACGCACATGCATATTTTTGCATAGTTTATATTTAAACTAGAATAGGATAGCTGGTTTTAAATATATTTTAGCCTTTAACCCCTATAGAATACTCTATTTTGTATTCTTAAATGCTAAGGTCTGTGGTTGATATATGCACATTTTTCACTCACAATCTCATGCAGTACTGTATATTTATTTGAACATTTTGCTCGGAACTAGGAACACTTTTAAATTCAAATGGTGCTGTCTAGGGATGCTCCGATCGATCGGTTACCGATCGAGATCGGCCGATACTCACTCTCTACCGATCGATCGGTGCTCTCTAAACATGCCGATCGCGAAAGCCGATCGCATGACGTAAAATACATGACACTTTTCTCTGTGTGCGGCAAAACAAGCTCGCCAAAATGGCTTCTCCGGTCTGGCATTATTTTAAGGTGTCCGAAAAAGACAGTAAAATAGCGGTATGCAACGTGTGTGAAGCAGAAATCCTGCAGCTCCGCCCGCCGGACCGGTAAACGCAGCGAAACACACACACAGGGAGAACCAGACCGCAGTTCATTTCCTCATATTCCAAACGAGAAATTACGGTAGCAAATCACCCGGTTCTTTACGACCAGAACTATTAACGGGATACAAACCGGAGGAACCAGGCATGGAGGGAGGTGGCAGAGACAGTGGGTGAAACTGGTAGGTTTTCGCCTGTTTGGGGAGTTTATATATATATTGCTCGCAAAAAATCCCCGGGGTTTTTTGCTTTGTATGTCGGGGGCGGGAGATTCATGTGATTGGTTGTTGGTCGCGTTGCTCGCAAAAAATCCCCAAGCTTTCAGACACGCCCAGCTCCAAGATTTTCAAGATTTTTGAAAAGCTGCTTTGTGGACGTACCGTAAGAGTTGCACCTAACACACTTAGCTATTTTATCTACCTCTGGGACAAGCTAAACTAGTTATTATAAATATATGTATTCTTCATTGTCGGGTCACTATTACTGGATTATTGAGCTGCATGAGATACTGACAGGCTGTCAGGAGAGGGAGAGAGAGGAAAAGAGAGCGCTTCCGCTAATTTCTTCCGTGTTATTATCCAAAGTGAATGTAAACTTGAATAATGTACATCATTTGAATGTAATAATTAAGTTGATTGTTGTTTGTGGAAGCTCCAGTGAATGAGCCCCATTAACTGAGTTTTAAACATCACTTTAAATGGAAGATTTAAAGTGATGTTTAAATCTTCCATTTAGGCCCCGCCCACTCGATCGGATCGGCGATCGGTATCGGCCGATACTGATTCCGGCGATCGGCCCCGAAATTGGCGATCGGAGCATCCCTAGTGCTGTCATTGGGTTATGCTATGATGTGCTTTTGAACCGACTTGACAAATTGATTGGCAAGCTTTATGGTCCCTGCATTGTACTAAGGTATTGCAGAATAGTTTGCAACCATGGCAGGCTTCATACTAAACAGTAAGCTGCAGGGGGGGGTCACTGTTTTGTTCACATTTCTTATTAATGTATTTCCTTCAATATGGCTACCCAACACTGTTTTACTGTGGCAGTGTTAATAGACTGAAATAGGAAAAAGCAGCTCTCTGCAAGTGAAGAGTGTTCGTTTCTGGGAAGTCTTGTTAAGAATGTAGGGAATAACAAAAATAACTCATAAATCCAGGTCTATTGGTTGAATGATACTATCTAATACACATTGCACTTTTGTACAGAAGCTCAGGCTTAACTGAATATGATTTAGGTACGTTTTTTCTCGCTCGCTCTCCTTTTTCACACACACACTTCAAGACAGCGTTGACAGAGGTCAGCCAATCACCTCTTGGCTTTTCCTCATATCTGATCTTTGACCTTAATGTGGAAGTTCGGCCGAGGTCAGGGTGGGTGTGTGTGTATGTGTGTGTGTGTGTGTGTGTGTGTGTGTGTGTGTGTGTGTGTGTGTGTGTGTGTGTGTGTGTGTGTGTGTGTGTGTGTGTGTGTGTGTGTAGTGTGTGTGTGTGTGTGTGTGTGTGTGTGTGTGTGTGTGTGTGTGTGTGTGTGTGTGTGTGTGTGTGTGTGTGTGTGTGTGTGTGTGTGTGTGTGTGTGTGTGTGTGTGTGTGTGCTGCTGATGGGGGTTGTCAGGTCACACAGTCTGGATGTCACTGAAGTCCCTGTTGTGAGACTGTTTTCCCTCCAAACACAGGACTCCTTTAATCTCCCTCTTTCAAATGTGATGAATTACTCCATTTGTTTTTTCTTGAACGCTTTGTTCTTATGCTTTCCTTATTTCTGTCACTTACCTCTTCTTCACTATACTTTAACCACTCTTTTATTTGTTCCCATTTGTTTACTCCTCTACCCACATTCTTCCCTCTATACCTCTGCTGTCCCTTTCATTATTCGTTCTTCAGTCCTTTCTCCTTCCATCTATCCCATTTGGAATGCAATATGCAAGTGTCGTAAGGCCAGTGGTTCAGTGCATTGCCTGGTCTACGAACACCACTGGAAAGAGGATTGATGATGATAATGATGATAAAGAGGGTCTGCACGCTCAACCTAGAGACCGCAATGCCTTTCCAAGATACAGCTAGTGCCATGAAAAACATATCAGTGACCACAGTTGCCTTTTTCGGCATTTGCATATGCATTTGCTCAAACAGACGCATCCACACCCAAATGGCAAATTTAAGACAAATGTATACACTGGAAAAGTGGACACACAAACGCAAGAACACATTTCAAGGTCTTTAAAGCAGCCAAACCGCAAACCAAGCTCAATGCTATGGTTAGTTGGTCCATCTCAATCCTCTTACTATACTCCCTGTCCTTCATTTGTTTTTGATGGACTTTATGTGTGGACAGGTGAAACCTAATCAAAAGAGACACGCACAGGAAGTGGATTTAGCTTCTTAAAATGAACACCAGGTCTGTGTCTCAGCATGGATTGTGTGCAGTTTGACGGGCATGTTGTGTTCATGTTGTTCCCATTTAGCCATGCCAGTACCGCTGCCAGATATTTGGCAGCAGCCTCAGAAGGAAATAGAAAACACAAGTGTTTATCAGAGAAAGAATTATACAACCTTTTCTCTTTGGTTTTTTTTTTCTCAAAGCCTTAACATGCTTTACTACAGGTTTATGAGAAGAAGCATATGGTATTTTGCCTGTGTGTGTGTGTGTGTGTGTTGTGTGTGTGTGTGTGTGTGTGTGTGTGTGTGTGTGTGTGTGTGTGTGTGTGTGTGTGTGTGTGTGTGTGTGTGTGTGTGTGTGTGTGTGTGTGTGTGTGTGTGTGTGTGTGTGTGTGTGTGTGTGTGTGTGTGTGTGTGTGTGTGTGTGCGCGTGTGTGTGCGTGTAACCTGGCAGAATGAGTGGTCATATGCCTGGCTCTGTTTACAGGGCCTGTCACAGCCATTCACTGCATCTTAGCATTTACCATCTAGCATGTTCCATTGAAAGGCCATTATATATATAGCTTAGCTGCTTAGGTGTAGCCTCCTGAGTTTACCGAGCTTGTCACAACCACTCAGTCCAACCAAAGCTGCTGTGGACTGCAGCCAAGGCCCTTGTATTTTTTACTCTTGTGTAGCATGGACTGTCCTTTACCGTAGCTTAGTTTAGCATTATTCAGGCAAGGGCTTGGTTATAGTGAGCTGCCAGCTCGTGCTAACTATTGTAATGTTAGTGTCTGAGTGAATTAGCCTTCTTGTTAGCAGGGCTCTTGTCTGCACAGTTTCAGCCCCAAGGAAACCCCTTGTGTGTTTAGTTATTGGTTCCTGACAATCACACTGAGGAAAGCATTTTATGATATCACACACAACTTTTTTTGAATGAGGAACATGAACAGGACTGTTTTGATTAAAAGCCACAGGGGGTTTGGAGGGCCATAGCTTTAGGCAAGGAGACTCTACTTATAAAGACATAACCACTAGGCCAGAGTTTGTACAGTAAATGGTAATGATGATGGCTTCTTTTCACATGTTTTTCTCACAGGACGATGAAGAGGGAATATGGGCATGATCACCATCACCATGGAAACCCTGCATCCACTTATCCACAGTGAGTTTTCTGTTGCACAGCTTTTGTAAAAACGTTCTGCTAATTTTAGAGCACTTCTTGCCAGGGTGTAATGCTGTATATCAGCTGCAGATATTTTAATGGTCTTCTACACAAAAGGGTTCTTTAGTGAGCTCAAGTAACCATTAGCCGGGAACACTGATGGCACCACAATAACCACAGTATTACCCAACTCTGACAGAAGAAAGTGTAATAGAACCCGGCTCCTTTTCCCATTGCTTATGAATTTCAGTCGAATAAAGGGCCTCAGTTGATTCAGAGGTTTATGGCTGCCTTTCTATAAGTGCTACAGTACTAATGTCCATATGCTGGTTGTGCCTCATGCTGTGTGTGCACTCTGTGGCTATATAGGTAACTGCGTGGTATTCGACCAATACAAACCCAGCTGCCCCGCGTACCAGGGCTCGTAGGTGATAAAAACGACACAGTGAGAAAAAACAGAGATGGACAAGTCTGTCCTCCCCGCCTCACTTTTTCAGGCGTAGTAAAGTTTAACTGTGCTACCCCACCCTGTTTTGTGCCAGTGTGTGGGGTAGTTAATTACAATACAACACAGAGCAGTCATGAAGCTTTTTGTTTTTAAGGCTGCAAGCTGAAAAAGCATAAAATGAAGAATGCAGAGTCATAAAGGATAATTCCTGTTTTGGGGGTTTTATATCGAAGCCCCCCATAGACTCAGGATGCCTTTGAACGTATGCGTGTGGAAAGAGGTCTGTTCAGAGGGGGGTGATTGTTTTCTTGGAGCAAATGCATGTGTGAGTGAGACAAAGAGAGGCAGGAGGGAAAAAAAGAGAGATTTATAAATGTACATCTGAGAGATAGAGAAAGAGAGATGCTTATGTATTTATGTGGGAATGAGAGAAAACCAGGCAGCATGGTATACTCATACTTTCCAGTGCATCTCATTCTTTTCCCCCAGTAATCCACAGGTGGACCATCACAAGCAGACTCTGTCTCTAACCTCAATGACTTAGTAGTGGTGCACTTTGCCCTACTGCTGCTTTTGGGATTAAGAGTCCTATAGTTTGTGTGTGAGCAAATGGTTTATGTGCAGTGTAAAGCTTTGGTGTGTTTAGCTATGATGTTTGTGTGTGCATTTGAATGTCTGTGTGTGTATGTGTGTGCAAGAGAGCGTTGCTGAGCTATACTGTGCCGGAGCAACCCACATTGCCTATAATCCAGTCCATGTGTGCTGAGAATGCAGCAGTGTCAGGATTCACCGTAATGAAACAGACCACACTGCCCCCTTTCTCCCTCTCTTTCCATCCCTCCATCTTTTTCCATCACTCCGGTTCTTTCCACCTCTCCCCAGATTTAAGCTTGCCCTGCTCTAACATTATTCTCCTTCAAGGTAAACCTAGAGCTGGACGCGTGACTCGCCTACTGCTTCGGTATCTTCAATCAGATATCGTGATGGTGTGTGTATGCACGTGTCTGCGTATTAGTACTTCTTATCCTGATCTAATAGAATAAGCCAGGCACATTAGCCTTTAGCACAAAATGGTGTTGTGGCTAGCGATATCAGTCCTGCTCATCTATCCACTGCTGTTATTCTGGCAGTGCACAATACGAGCGCGGCTAACGTGTATTAGCCATTCTCAATGGGAGAACAGATGGGAGCCATTTAGCGGTGTGTAGCTACAGCGCAATAAGGCCAGACCTAATCCCCATATCCTGTCCCTGAGTGAGCCCTCCTTAATATGAGCAAACATAGAGGACAGCAGCGATAGACATATAGCCGGGGATCTGTGAGTATGTGTGTGTATCAGTGTCTTTGCAAGTTTGCAAGCATGCATGCTTTGATTGGTGTGTCTTATGGATAACCTTGACTCTCAGTGCTAGGCTACATTCGGAATGTCACAGTGCTGAGTTTGAGTTCCGGGTGTGGATATGTATTGGTTATGCATAGTTCCAACTAAAAGGACACTGTGCTCTGATTGGCTCATTGTGGTTGTGTATGTCCTGCTGTTGATTACAGAGGTTTTGTTTACCCTCTTGGCCTCCCAGACCCCCCCGTACTAATGAAATAAGAATGTCTTTTTGGACAGAGAGCACAAGAAAAGGGGGTTGGAAGAAAAAGTGAAGGAGAACATGGGGCCAACAGAGTGAAGCAAAGTGGGGGGGAAGAGGTTTTCTGGAAACATTATGCTTTTATCCCACCGTGAAGTTATTTGTACTGAATGAAGCGAAAAGAAGCTGAGAGGCTTTCCAAGTGGGGACAGAAATATGCTCGTGTGTTTGTGTGTGTGTGTTTGTGTGAGTGTGTTAGTGTGTGTTGGAACAGGAAGGAGAGAGGCCTTGTTCAGGTTAAAACAAGTCAAGAAGATAGCTTTCATTTGTCCATGCTGTGTTTGCACTGAATACAGTGTTTGTATATCCACATTGTTTATGCCAGTAAGTATCCCACTCTTGTGTATGCACAGCTTAAGCAAGTCTAGAAAAAGGAGTCTAAATTAATTGGCAAACTGAAATTAGCCAGCAGATTCTCAAACCCATTTGTGATTCCGAAATACAATTATTTAGTAGAAGTGACATGTTTATGCTTGTCTCTTTTTTGCTATTTACTGATTAATCATGTCCAATGCCTCGTTGCAACCAAAACGTACTTCAAAGCTGGTTTAATTATGGGTTTCAAAGTCAATGGTCATTTTAATGTAACTTCTTCTTGTAAACGCAATATATCTCAGACTTGCCTAGTGAATAGAATTGATATTAAGTTGTCAGTATTGATTGTGAAATGACATCACCTTTCAGTGTCTACAATGTTATTATTCCAATGAAAGCAGTTTTCAGTTTAGACACGTCTGTCTGTTAATGTCACCGTGTTCACATTCCTTTTAACAATAATCAAAATGCCATTAAATTTAATTCAAGGTTGGCTCTGAAATAAAAGTATTGCAGCAGAATCGTAAACAGTTGAGCCAGCTCTGCCACTTTTTCTTGCCAGGATGAAAGTGTAAACAACTATCATCCCATATTTTAATAGGGCGCCTGAAGAAATACTTGCCCCATTTAATCAACACCTAGTAAGCGTTGATAAACAAATACATTGGTTTCACTCTGGATTGTCTAGACATTCAGTAGTGAATGCAAGCCAGTTATTTGTCTTTTTTTTAATATTCTCTGTGTATGTGTGATCGTGTGAAAACATGTGCACATCTACACACATACTTGCATGTTCATTATCATCGGGTAATGTTTGGGTATGCATCTCCTCACACATGTGTGTAGTCGTGCTGTGCAGTATTCCTTTGGTGACCAATGAACCGCAGCCGGCAGGTCAGTAGAGGCGTCTGACCGAGGCCATCCCTCAGCCAGCTGTCAGCATCATCAGTTTGTGAGGTCAAAGGTTGTTCCACCAGATTGAACATGAGTGGAGAGAAGTCGATAACTCAGCCACACCTGAGCAACAACATCTAAGTCTGCTGTATCTTGTATCTATTTCAGTCCATCCTGAGAGGTGTCCAAAACAACACCTGAATTAGTTTCCAAAGGGCCCTTTTTCTTGTGAAGGTGCATCATGCTATAGGTCTTTATTTATTTAGGCACAAATGAAAACCCATGGATCTGATAGCACACAGCTCTAAGACTAATGGGAGCAGGTAACTTGTACAGAAGCTTTTATATGTTTAGAAAATCCCATTATCAGTTCCTGTAGTAAGGGCAGGAATGTTGCCTTTTGCAGTTAGTTAGAAAACCCTGTTTGTGAAAGGAAGAAATGTGTTTGGCGTGAGACAGAAGCCTAATCACATTGAATATTTGCTTAGTGTATTCATGTTGCGGCATGATGATTAATTTGACAATGATGTAGTGCTGTTTAAAAATGCCACACAAACAATTACCCTAAAGTAGGTGTATGAAAAGCGGTGATAGAGTTGCTTTGTCAATGTCGGTATCTGAAGCTGCAGACAGACAGGACCCAGAGAAGCATCTTCAGACCCAGCAGACTGGGAGGAGGAGGAGGAGGAGGAGGAGGAGGAGGAGGAGGAGGAGGAGGAGGAGGAGGAGGAGGAGGAGGAGGAGGAGGAGGAGGAGGAGGAGGAGGAGGAGGAGGAGGAGGAGGAGGAGGAGCAGGAGGAGGAGGAGGAGGAGGAGGGATGTACGGTATGAGGAAAAGAAGAGCTGCCAATGTTTTGAGGCAGACAAGTTTATTCATGCTTTTTATGTGGCTTTCTTGAAGTTCTAGTCAGGAGAGGACAGTTAGACACCTGATGTGTGGATCATAGGGCGGTTTGTCTGAGTACGCTCCCATTCCCCACCCACAACACACTCATTACAAACACCAAGACTTGGCCACACACACAACTGCTCGTGCGAATCTGCAGGGAAAGATGTTAAGGTTTTGGTCATTTGAGTTCTCGAGGAGAATCCTTGCTATTCAGTGCTGGTGCTATTTTATGTGGTCATCTTATCAAAATGAATCTAAACGTTCTTGTTTGGGCCACCTAGTAGACTAAGGGAGGCACCAATAAACAGCTTGGCAGTCAGTCAGTGTGTACTGGCTGCTGTCAGCTGGAGAGATGATAACAGTTATGCCGAGAACTGTCCTCTAGCACTGTTTTCAAAAGTGGTAAGCCGTTCTCTCATCCAAGCCAACCAAGTGGGACCAGCATGGGATTTGTCCGACTTGCAGCAACAGTGGGACATGAGCCTAGACATTATGAATGGTCATGCTGTCCACTGACCCAAGGGTTCTTCAGTTGCACTTTTTAAAATGAGTTTTTCTTTAATATTCTTTAAGGATTGCATTTTATTAGCAGTTTAGTTCCAGTTTTATTTTGTGGGGTATTATCTTTTAGGTACATTAAAGGTAAACATTGAACAATCAATTTAAAAGATAACTCAAGCGTGTCTATGGACCTTTTGAGGATTTATATTTCATACAGTCTTGTGGAGATGCCCAACAAATAGTCTCAGTGTGGCCGGTCTTTCTTTTTAAACTGTGCACTGAGTGCTCTGACCTCACTTGCTTTATTAAAGCATTA